GACAATAGATAAACCTCATTTATCATTTTTATCACAAAATTATTTTATTTATTACATATTTATAAACTTTTAGTGAATTCTATCATTTAATAACAATCATTTAATAACAACAATATTTGTTGTTAAAAATGCATATTACATTCAAGTTTGAAGCAATAAAATAATAATCTTTGCAACCGTACATTTATCGATGAAATAAAACTGGGCGGTGATACCCGACATTCATGTGAGCGGGGCTACCCCAAATCCAATTTTTTTGTAAATTTGTAATTACTCGAACAATTTTTCACATATAAACTTCTTTCTTTGTGCAAATTAAACTTAAGACTACTTACTTTAATGCTGTATGTATATAAACAATTATTGTTTTAGTATTAAAATGAAGTTTAATCCAAACATTCAACCAATTTTTCTTAATTTCATGACTACTGTATTCAGCATATTTTCAAAACTATTGTTTACCATGTTACCAGCTGCATGAAACTTTGAAAAGAATCTTTTTTTAATATAACAACTAATATCCGATGGCCCATTGACTTGAAAAAGTATTCTATACATATGAAATTGACAGGGGGCGGAGGTACCCGACACTCCCCTATATATTTTATATTTATTTTGAAATCAAACAAAAAAAGGCTAATTATTGGGAAAAACATTTAAATAGAACATCTACTTATGTATTTTGTATTCCGCAATTACAACAAGCTAGTTCTTCCTAGTTAGTAAATGTTCATAAATTGTTATCGATAAGTTATGAAAATTTCTTTTTTTATGTAATTAAATATAACTGTGCAATAATAGTACAAAATAGTACATGTTAAATTAATAAAGAACACATAACACATTTTCTCAGATGCAGTGCAAAAAAATACATGGTTTAATTTACATTTTATTTAACACTATTTTTTTAAAACAACTTTTCATGCAAAGTTTTTCTAGAATGATAAATTTTATAAAGAATATCATCCTTTTATAATTGTTTTCAAATTCTAGTATAAACGCTTTTGAAATAACAGTATCGATAAAAACTATGAATCAATTTAATTATGACTTTGAAAACTAATAAGTCTTAACAATTTTCATAAGCATTATGAAATTATATCATCCTATAACAAAATCACTATCATGATGTCATGTATCAAATTTGTTGCAAAGGTCCATCAAATTTGTTGCAAAGGTTATACAAAACGTCTAACTTGATTATTAAAATGAAGCTGTAGATTTAATTTATTTATCTTAAAGTGAACCTACTTTACCTATAGAATCAAAATAAATCCTTCAATATATCGAAATATTTTGTAAATAATGAATTTGATAATAAATATTTGTAGCTCTTATTAATCCATTAAAATTTTTTAAATAAATTAACATAATAATAATTTTTAACTAATAAGTCCTTAAAGCACAATAAAGTAAAAACTGAACCTAAGTCAAACAAAGACGCTGAAATATTTATTAAATTTTTATCGTAGCACCGAAAGTGACAAATGTTAAAACCTGAATTCCTTTTACCCATTAAACTAATCTTTTTTAAAGTGCTCAATCATTCGATTTCGGGTTTTTTTTTCACTTCTTATTTTCTGTTCTTTTTTGAAGATTAGCATGATCATCAAAAAGACTAATTGCTCCGTAAGAGCTCCATTAAAATCTATTTGCATAGGCCACCAATAAATCCTCATAGTTCACGAATTAGCCGATAAGGGGCGCACCCAAACTGAGAATCCCGACGTCCTAGTATTCTCTAGTACTGCCGGCAGACGAGAGTTGATTTTTCGCATGTGTAGTTCTTATTCTTAGAAGATATTATTACATTTTTAATCTGAGTACACGTTTTTCTGTACAACACTCATTTCGTTCTATATTAAGACGGAATTTAAGAAAACAATTGGGAGAAAAACTGGAAATAGTTTGAGATTTTGTCAACAAAATTTAGTGGTAAAAAATAGTCACAATTAAAAATAATAATTATTGGATTGTGTCATTTGACGTGGTCCATGAAAAGATCGTCTGTTGGAATTTTTTGTGTTTAAATTAGCGCCATCTGCTTGGAAAAATTATGATATTCCAGTGCCTTTTTTTAGTACTCAGTAACTTTATAATGGAAATTCAGAGCTTAGGTAAGATAATTGATAAAATTACAACATTGGTATTTTTACTTACTTTTATTGAAAACATTCTTCTACTTGTATCTATATATTCAGTCTTTTTTAAATATTTATATTTGTAAATCTTTATACTTAAAATTCATCAGTATATATAACATAATTATTTTGTTATTATTTGTAATATATTGTCCAAAAACATGATTAAGGAATTGTTCGTTTCTAACAAATAGCTCAGTAAATTTTTTCTAAACAGTAACACAAGTTTTGAAAAGAAAAAAACTGTTTTTTTTTTTTTTAATTATTTCACTTCACTCTCAATGTCAAACGCATGAAAGCCCTTTTTTCGCATTTGGGTATTTAATTACTAATTTATTTATAATTCTCAAGGGAAACTATTCGTATATAATACCAAAAATAGTATGAATGAAAATGGAATTTGTTTTGGAGAGGAAAACTACTATTCATTTAAATTCCTTCAATTTGCATAAGTCTTATTTTTTATTTCCGTCTTAATAAGCAGAATTTTTTTTAAAAAAAAAGCTTCTTTCCGAAAGTTTTCAATTCTTTACTTTAAATACTGTTCCGAAATACTCAAAGACACTTTTACTTTTTAGAAGTATTCGTCAATTAATTCCGTTACATATGGCCTTAATTTTATGATCATTATATTATAATTTAACCGCCTTAGGTATTTTTGTAGAAGCAAAACATTTTAATTATAAATTCCCATTGCTTTCCCTCCAAATGTATACATAATCAAAACAATTCATTTTTAAGGACAAAAATGCAAATTTTACTATTTAGGACCTTCTGTAATAATCACTCTTACTATGTATTTTTAGAATCTTTGTCACAATAGCTTTCAAAGTAATGATTTAATGAGAGATATTACCATTAAGGAACCTGTTGCAGCTCATTACCATCTCCAAAGTTTCAAATGTTTTTTGTACTTGTAAAGTATATGCAGTGTGTAAATATATATATATATATATATAATAACATGTAGGACCACCTTTAGCCCTCAAAACTGCTAGCACCTGCCGTGGCATTTATTCCACAAGGTGCTGATAGGTATTCTGAGGTATCTGGTACCAAGCGCTCGCCAACTGGTCCTGCAATTCTCTCACATTGCGAGGGGGTAGCGTTGAAACACAAATTTGGCTTTTCAAATAGGACCACAAATGCTCTATTGGATTAAGGTCGGGTGAATTTGGGGGGCCAAGACAAGACTTGAAATTCACTGGAAAGTTCCTCGAACCAGTCCGTGACGATTCGACCCTTATGACATGGTGCATTATCCTGTTGGTAAACACCATCCCCCGCAGGAAAAACTGTTGCCATTAATAGGTGAACCTGGTCTGCAACTGTGTTCAAGTAGCTTACAGACGTCAGGCATTGTTCTATGAGTATTATGGGTCCTAATGTGCCCAATGAAAGCATTGTTCCTGGGCGAGAAACCATGAAAACCTGGGCAAGCCCATTGCTATAGATTGAGGGTGGTCATAATGTAATGGCTCTTCGTTGTATATATATATATATATTTAGNTATATATATATATATATATATCATATGCTTGTGAGGGACTTTCAGAAATATTTCGCTGATAAGACAAGCACATTTTATAACACACATTACAAATTTTCTCATATTATATCAGAGACTATTGATAAAAATAGTGTGTCACTACCACAGGCAATTGGAAAAATAACTGTTCGAAATATTTTATAATTACTAAATAAAATGTGTATTTTTGAAATTGTAGTTTTCAGCTTCCATATTATCAATAGAAGTCATATAAAAAAAATGTATCCACATAAAATCTAGTTTGCAGAGATGCTTGTTCATTGGTTTACTTATCTTCCACTTACTAAATTTGTCTAACAATTCATTGACTGACTAATTCGGATTAAATATTTCAGTTATTCGCTGATTCAGAAATTCGTCTCTGCGTTTGAAATTGTTTTCTCTCTTTATTCACGCGCTACATCAAATAATTATCGTGAAATAAATCGATAATAATACGTTTTTAAAAATTGAAAATTATAAACAGATTTCAAATGTTGGTTCAGAAATCTGAAATATTTCTAAATATTGATATATTCTAGTACTTTCTTTGAATTTGGAATGAAGTGGAAAAGAATATTATTACTATTAATATAACTCACGATATTAAGAAAAAATGGGTACAAATGGAAACTGCAAAAAGTTTACTTCTACGCCTAAACAAATATCACTTTTATTATTATTTGTAGTTCTTACACTCGAAGCATTTTTCAAGATGAAAAATGCCTAATAAGCAACAAATTTGACAAATTTATATTATTCGCAAATGTTTAGGATGCAAAGCTGTGTTTGTCTGAGATAGTTAAATTTTTAAAACTGTGCAAAAATCTGATTACGATTCATTTTTGACAAATTTGGCTTTTTTCGGCATACATTTCCTTCATGTAAGCAAATTTGTAAGCAAAGTAAGTAAGCAAATTTGATAAGCAGCACTTACTAAGTAGCATGCTTAATCTTAAACCACAACATTAAAGTATATGTAGCATTTTTTTATCCTGGTAACTATGCAGGAAGAATAATTTAATCAAAAATAAATTAACGAAAGTAGGTATATGGTGTTTATATGGGTATTATTGCAATTTTAAAAGTATCAATATTTTATAAATTTATAATTTTTTAAAAAACAAAATTATTTTTCATTCTGTTATAGTTTTTAAACTATACACGGCAAGTTTAAATCATAATTTAATTTTTTTTTAACTTTTACACAAACTGTTGTTATTTAATAGTTGAGATTTTCAAAAAAAAAATTCAAATAATTATGGAATCTAAATGTTAAAATCTGTTAACCATTCTTTATTTTGACTAGAACAAAAAAATTTAATATTTATGAAAAGAATTATGCAGAGTGATTCGAATAAAATTAAAGTTGTTTGCAATAGTTGTCATTGAGTTTTATATAACATATTTTTGTAAAACGTTTATTTTATCGTAGTTAATTTGCTTTTTTCTTTACATATTTTATTTGAATCAATTATTTAAAAAAGAATTCTTTCTTTATTTCTATTTTTAATGATCTCCTCTTTTTTCATAAAAAAAATCTATTTAGGCTTTTTAGTTGCTTGATTTTTGTTTGCATAGTTATTTTGATGCTAAAACATGTAATTAAAATAAACTTAGTTATGAAAACAAATAGTAAAATAGTAAAAATAAAAGTCTTACAGTGCATTTTATTTTGCACGTTTCCTTAAAATATTTTTTTTTATATTTCAATAAAGAAAAGTTATAAATTACTTTTCCTGAAAGACAAATTTCGTATAAAGCAATTAAAAAAGTCTGGAATTATTTTTCTTTATAAACCAAGCTCTTAAAAGAAAAATAAAGAAAAACCAGGAATAATTTTGCCTAAAAAAATAAAGTGCATAAAGGAACTATAAAGAAAAAACTATGAATAAATTCTAAGTATTATTTTTTTATACATTATAAAAAAATAATTATCATTTCAGCATTTTATGCCTTCTCATTGAATCGAAAAATCACATCGCAGAATATCTAATATACACAGGAGATCTTGATGTTTTTGGCTGTCATCAACATGAAATAAAAAAAAAATATCGCAATATTTACCTGTACATTATTCATTTATTTAATACCAGTATTATATATTCCAGGATATTTTCTATTATTGTTCATTATTCCTTCCAATATTACCTTTTTCATGACGTATGTAATTTTGATTATTATTTAAAATTATAAGTTAAAAAGGAGAATTGTTCTTTTTTTATAAAGCAATCATTTAATATAACCTGATTAGAAAATATTTCGTGATAAAGATATTCAGGCCAGTCGATTACCCTTAAAAGAATCAATTCGTTATATCCACTTCTTAAAAGTTCGTTGTAAACCGTGGTTGGCCAGCTTATAGAATTTAAATAACAAAAACATAATAACTACCTAAAATTCGGAAGCAAATTAAAGAATTATTTTTGATATATAACAGCAGAATATTCTTGAGGGTAAGAAAATAATTAATGCGCGTTCATAGTAAATAAAATAAAAAAATATTAAAAAAAAAAGATTGAGCATAAAGTTATATGATAATAGAGCAAAAATATTATATTTAAATCTCATATCAGTAGAAAGGGAACTTAGTTTAGTGACTCAAATCTTTTTTTGGGAACAATGAATTGAATAATTTTTAATTGACAAACTTGATGTAACTTCTAACAAACTGTTTATCACCACGAAACAAAAGTGATTGCGTAGGAATTCTATGGTTTACTGAGAGTAGTGAGCAGGAGGCGTTGCCACAAATATTTTTAAAAAGTGAAATAATAAATTAAAAAAACCTTAGTATTCACCAAAATATTTTCCGTATTTGATGTAAGAAACTCTTAATGTAAAAAACTAGGTAAAGACTCGATTTTGATGTTAAGAAAAAAATCATATCATAATATATATCCTCTTCAATGTAGCCAAATAAACATTCTACGCTCTGTATATACAAAACATATTTTAGTACGTATTTTATACAGTCCCTTTGCCCCATTTCTTTTAATTTTAAAGTTAAAGGAATAATTTTCCTGATTTCTTTGATCCACTCACCCAATCTAATACAGAATAGTTACTAGAAGGTTTTATTCTGAATTCTTTTTATATACTTCAAAGAGTTAAGTCAGAAAGAACGATTTTTGACATGCAATTTCGAAATTACGTCTTGCTCCTAAATCTGGAAAAAGTTACTCTAGCTTAAAAAGAAATCAGAAATAACGTCAAATATAAGATTATTTCCCACCATTCGGATGATTTAGTTTCTACATTTGTATTCCAATGGTAACTAAACGAATATTTGATTACTAATCAATTTAATTAAGTTCTAATGCTGTTGGCAAATTTATAGAACTAATCAAACTAATTTATTACTGGTTAAATATTTTTTACGAATTGATTTGAGAATTAATTAAATTAATTCGTTATTTGCTTAATAAATTTAGACTCTCTGAGATAA